TGGGAGGCTGAGGCAGGTGGATTGCCTGAGCTCCTGAGTTTGAGACCAGCCTGAGCCAATGGGACAGCTCCTCTCTAAAAATAAAAGGAAAAAAAAATAGCCAGGCATTGTAGTCAGAACCTGTAGTCCCAACTACTTGGGAGTCCAAGGCAAGAAAATCACTTGAGTCCAAGAGTTTGAGGTTGCTGTGAGCTATGATGCCAGAGCTCTCTACAGAGGGTGACAAACTCAAACTCTGTCTAATAAAAAAAAAAAAAAGAACGAAATTGGGAAACAGCCAGTACGTATGAATTGTATTTTGTAACATATTAAGCAGCTTATAATATATAACATAAGAATAACTATAAGGGTACAGACTTAGGTAATGTTGGGTAATTATGACAATACTTTAGATAGGAAGCACTAGATATTCTTAGAAATCTTGTTTGTTGTTTTATTTAAGGATCATGTCTTTTATACATGTTTACTTGTTTTTAATGGGTTGGGAACTGTTAGATGAATTGACACAGTATGTAGATTTTAAACTTTTTATATCTATGTTGTGTTTTAATAATAATGGCTGCTTGATTTTTTAGTATAGCTTCTCATACTTGTTTTAATTCTATGCTCAGAGTGTTTATGGCTTGAGAAGTGTATTAAGGGTCTTGACGATGGCACAGGCCAATGGACTCATTTTCAGATATTTCAGCTATTCAGTCCAATAGCTATTGTTGGTATGACAAAAATGGCTAAAGTGGTGTATTTAGCAGGGCTAAAAAGGTGTAGTCAGCTATTATAGTTTTCAGGGAGATTAATATCTTAAGTTATTTTAGACGGGTTGGACTTAAAGTTTTGTCCCCAGGGTAAAAAGGGTGAATCTTAGCAAACAAAGTTTCCCTGTGTTGTAGCAGGGATAGATGAAAAAGCCTGGGTGCCAGATAATAATAACTATCTTCAGGGGAGCTTGGCATGTCTATTGGCATGAGGTAGAAAGGTGGTTAAGTTACATTTAAGTAAGGAATTATTCAGCTCAGTGTATCGGAATGGGCACTTTTTAAGCTTGATATAGTTATGAGTAATAGTTTCTTTTTTTAGTTGTACAGCTAATATATCTTTTTTTTCTAGACAGTAGGGGTTGTTTTTTAACTATATCTCAGTATGTGACAATTTTCTGAATATATGGGAAAAGTGTGAAATCTCTGATAAGTTCTAGTGGGAAAATGTGGATGCCCAAGATTTTCACTGTGGATGAGGTTGTGTCATTGGATAGTAGCTAAGAAGGAGAATATGTGCTGTTTCACTTGTATCTGGAAGTTCCATCGGTTCTATGTAAAATAGGATGAGGTCCATGCACTTTTACAGAAGATGGCATTAACAGCCTAGAGTAATTCAAAGTTCTCATAAACAGAATAGTTAGAAAAGACTTGCTTTCTGGGATGGTAAAGAAAGCTATTTAAAGACAGAATTAGAGATTAGAAGACATGCCAGATATCTACAATGGGAACTTTGCCAAAACGGGGTTTTTCTCACTTAGTTTTTATCAGATTATGATTGATTTTCTCTGGCCAGTACTATCACAGCAGTGATGTTGGACTTGCACTTGTGAAACAGCACCTGATACTAATTTGTCCTGTTACAGTTGATGTTAATTTTGTTCACTCAGTTACGGTGTTCTTGGACGCATATTTCACTGTAGGGTTCAGTGTATCTTCTGTATTGTCAATAAGAACTTGGGGAGATTATCAACTGATATGAGGAAATCAAAACATTTATTGATGAAGCACCCCTTTCTTCCTAGATTCTCTTCCATATACTTTTCTTGGGAAAGTAAAGGTTGTCATCTTTGTAACTAGTTCAGGAACCAACTGGGGTAAATCCGGTGTCTGCAGTTCACTGCATGTTTGACATAATATCATTATGGAACTGAAGCATTGTCATTCTTGTTGAACTTATTGAAAATTAGGAAACGGAATCTTCACCCAATATCGGCCAAAAAAAATCTACATTTTTTCATGATCTCCACTTCTTGTACAAATTAAAACTTTAGGGTTACCATTTATCTCATCATGACATTGTCATATAAAAAAAATACACAGATTATAATGTATGATGTAAATAACACATAAAGTTATACATGCCTGTATTGGTGGCCTTTTATTTATACTGTATCAATCAAAAATGTCTGATGTGTACACCGGTTTTGTGGATGCCGTTCCATCCCCTTTCTTCAGTGTTAGACAACACATGAGGGAATGGATCCCTTCTCTACTTACTAGGTAATTGCCTTTACTCTTATAAGTCAGCAGGAGTTCTCTTCACTCACTGAACTAAAAGTGAAATTCATGACTTGGTGCTTATAGCACAATAGTTCAGGAGCTGGCCACATACACCCAGGCTGGTGGGTTGGAACCTGGTCCAGGCCGGCTAAACAACAATGACAACGGCAACAAAAAAAATAGCTTGGTGTTGTGGAAGGCACCTGTAGTCCCAGCTAGGAGACTGAGGCAAGAAAATCGCTTAAGCCCAAGAGTTTAAGACTTCTGTGAGGGTGACAGCTTGAGACTCTTCTCTCCAAAGGAAAAAAAAAGTGAAATTCTATATGCCCGTGTTTTCTTGGCAAATGTTTGTTTTTCAGGGAGTGTTGACATTCAAGGACGTGGCTATTGAATTCTCTATGGAGGAGTGGGCCTGCCTGGACCCTGCTCAGCAGCATTTGTATCGGGAAGTCATGTTAGAGACCTACAGAAATCTGGTCTTCCTGGGTGAGGACAAATTATATATACAGTTCAAGTCTACACTAAACAATTCATATTCTCTCTTTTTAGTAGGTTTTTATTCACTTTATTTATTGCCTGAGTATCAGGCTCTTGTTTCTATGAAAAAATTAAGGATATCTTGGTATAAAAAAGAAAAATTGGATTTGTTTTATTTAGGCATTAATCTTACCCTTTTTTGAGCTGATTTATATCCATCACTAGATTAATGGAAATTTCAGAAATTTCATGGCCTAGATTGTTACTCATACCTTTAAGTCTGATTTCTAGCACCAAATTTTATTTCAGTAGTTTTGGTAATGGAGGAGTTAGGAATGTTCCAACTTGAAATACTTTTTAAAGATTCTGATGTTTCTGCAAGGAAATCTGTTTGGGATTATTATTTTAGGATCTTCTAAAATGTCCTTCTCTCTACTTCACCAAGGCATTAGATTGCAAATTGAATAATCCCAATTTTTTTTCTACTAAAACAGGTCTTGCTGTCTCTAAGCCAGACCTCATCACCTGTCTGGAGCAAAGCAAAGAACCCTGGAAGGTGAAGACACAGCAGACACTACTCAAGCCCCCAGGTAGGTTGGAGTGAGTGAAGCAGGTGACACTGGTCAGGGGTCCAAGTTCTGGGAGGAAACCACATAATACAGTGTGATTAGGGAAGCTCAGCTTCACTGGAAATGATTTCTGAGAAGCCTGGGTTTCTTTCCCTTGTTCTTACATCAAGGCATCTGTCTTCTTGTTTTTATTATTTTTTAATTTTTATTTTCTTATTGATACAGAGTCTCACTCTCTTGCCTCACACTAGAGTGCCATGACATGAGTCTAGCTCAGAGCAACCTTAAACTTCTGGTGTCAAGTGATTTTTCTATCTCAGCCTCCAAATAGCCAGGACTACAGGTTTCTCTACATTGTCTGGCTAATGTTTTTTTTTTTTTTAGTACAGGGGAGTTCTCATACTTCCTCAAGCTAGTCTCAAACTTGTGAGCTGAAGCAATCCTCCCTCCTTGGCTTCCCAGAGTGCTAGGTATACAGTTGAGAGCTACTATGCCTGTTCTTGGTTTTAATTTCCAGAAGGACCTTACTTTTCAGTGATAATCCTTCTAGGTTACAGTGAGAATGAAAGAACTTCCTATGGCTTACATGTGAGTGCAGGATGTGACTGTTCTTCCATCGCTTTTAAGGACATGAAATATGTGTGTATTTTTTAGTATACGTGATATTTTTTTTAATATTCTTTAGCCTGTGTATGTTGGCTCACACCTCTAATCCTAGCTCTCTAGGACCCTATTGCTTGAGCTCAGAAGTGTGAGACCAACCTAAATAAGACTGACACCTCATCTCTACTAAGAAGAGAAAAAATATCCAGGCATTGTAGTGGTTGCGTGTTGTCCCACCTACTGGGAGTTGGTGGTGGGGATGAGGCTGGATAATTGCTTGAACCCAGGAGT